CTCTCTCTCTTGAAAAAAAATTAGGTTTACTAGCGGATTTAATTAAAAGTTTAATTTTTTGGTAGAACTAAATCTCACAACGTATTTTAATTTAAAAGTATAAGATACAGCTGTGATGACAAAATTTTGTAATTAAATAATTATTTAGGCATTATACACGGTTCAAATACGCACAGGAGATAAATAAATGAAATCGTAGCAAGTATTTAAACATCTAATAAAATTAATGCAACGCAAAAGCAGAAGAAAGTAAACGTTAAGTATTTTAAAGTAATAAAATGACAGCAGATGTTAAAGACTGCTCTTCTATTTTAAGGCGAGGAATCCAAGAAGAATCGGCATGCTGATCGTCGCCGTGTGGATAATGTCCTTAGGAATCTCATTAGCGCCTCAACTCGGATGGAAGGATCCTGATTATTTGACTCGCATAGGCAACGGGACGTGTATCGTGTCGCAGGATCCCTCATATCAGGTGAGCGCTTCCGGAGAATTGCGAGCAGATCCGAAATGCCAGATTATATTCGAGACTGGGAATTGCGCCCGCGGACTCTCGATGGAATTGCTGGGGAAAGTGTTGACGCGTTGAGAAACGCTACGATAAATTTTAATGTTTAAGCTTTTAATCACATGTAGTAGAAATGCAAGAATATCTTTATAAAAATAGAAATATAAAAATATCTAAAAGCAGATATATATTTTCTTTTTTTGTCGTGATAAGTGTTGCATTTAGAGCTAGAAAAACTATAAATTTTGTGTATACCGGTGTGTGTGTGTGTGTGTGTGTGTATGCGTGTGTGTGTATCGCCTTATCATAAAAAAATATAATAAATTTCCTTGCAGATCTTCGCAACTTGCGCGACGTTTTATGTTCCGCTTTTAGCCATCCTATTCTTATATTGGAAAATATTCCAAGCGGCACGGAAGAGGATCAGAAGAAGGCCCGGCACCATCGTTCAGCCACCGCGTGAACGAAGAGGCATCCTCAGGCTGGTCACGAGAAGGTTGTACTTTCTTGGTTTTTCCTCTGAGTTTTTATCACGAGAACAGAACCTCATTTTATGTTTCGCATAATAATCAGACGTGTCATCTTTTATAGTTGCAATAAAGCTTGAAGGGCTCGTGGGATAATAACGCACTAAGTCACGTAAAGGAAATCCCGCAGGCGAGCTACTAACAAATGAATTCTTCACGAGATTAAGTCTATTTCGTATATTGCCAAGGTCGCTGGATCTTTTTATAAGAATCGTGAATTAATTTGTAAACAAATACTCTTAGTGCGCAGTTTTTTTTATCTTAAATGACTCAGCGTATCACTGTTCTAAATTTTCATCTCAATGATGAGTGCAGGTCTTTACTGCGAGAATAAAGGTATGAATTTACCTGTTGATCGTTCTGTCACAAAAAAGATCTTATCGCTTAAAAATTGCATATCTCATATTGAGTTCTGTCGCCTCTAAAATAGATTGCGTTTGGTGTTATAAGTATTGGTCTGCTATAATCCATGTCTAATTAAATTTTAATTAACATCATATAACTCTTAGTTTAATTTGCGTCGAAACAATACTATTATAATTTATTTATTTAGGTACTTATTTATCTTTTAATAACTAATTTCGCATTTTTCTACTATTTCTATGCATCCCTATTTTTTATATCACAATTACGTTAAATTAATTGGAAAATAATTTCTCTATCTACTTATTTTGCTTCAAAATTTCTGAAAAATAATTTGAAAAATTATTTTCTCATATCTTACACTCAATACTCTCGTATTTCAGCATAATTTGATATATCCTCTGTAACTATATTAGAAATATCATATCCTATAAAGTATCAAGAGAAACGGATATATGACTTCATACATATAGCCGTCTTTTCATCTAACATCGCTTTTACGACGCTCTCTCTCTCTCTTGACGGCCTTTCATAAAATTTCTTAATATCGTTCCGCCTCACTATATGTCTTAGCTGTCACTATTATTTTCGCGATAACGAGCAGGACAAACTTATCTCTCCCTTGACCGGCGTAATTCTGATTTATCTGGCCGTAGGCCGCGCGAGGAATCCACGGCGTTCACCATCACAAGATCCACGCCGGATCACTCGTCCATCTCGCCGGAGAAGTCGTCGTCGTACAACGGCGCGAACGTCACGCCGTCAACGACGGTGACGCCGACAGCAGTCTCGACGACGACCACGACGACGACGACGACGCTGACGAATCCGACCAACACAAACCAGCAGCAGCAGCCGGTGGTGAAGTGCCCGAAGCGCACACGTGAGACGATTGAGTCGAAGCGCGAGCGCAAGGCGGCCAAAACCCTGGCGATCATCACCGGTGCCTTCGTCTTCTGCTGGCTGCCGTTCTTCGTGTGTGCCCTGTTTCAGGCCCTATTCCCACCCTGGATGCCACCCGACCTCTTGTCCAGTGTGTTCCTGTGGCTCGGATACTTCAACAGCACTCTTAACCCCGTGATTTACACTGTGTTCTCGCCGGAGTTTCGGCAGGCATTCAAAAGGATGCTGTGCGGTGGTACGCGGGGACTTCGCTGACAGTGGATTTAATTCTTTTGCTGCGTGCGGGCGGCCGAATAAAAAGGATATGTGAAAACTTGTACATATATACGTACATACACATATATATACGGCGTTTTCTTCTGTGTTGTGCGGTATCTAGATGCTCAAATCTAGATATTAGTGTACTAAATACACAATCGCTCACGGTTACACTCTTACATACCTAGATGCGATATTGAAATCGACAATTAATGTTATACTTATTTTTAAATGCTTCTGTAGACGCGATTCTCAAAAAAAATTTGACGAGTATCTCAATTTCTGACACAATTGTATCTCTTATATTCTGTTTTGTTAATTCGTTCTGTACGTTTTTACTAATAATACGACATCTTTCTCAATTTTAGGATATTTTTGTTTGCCACGTCAAACATTTTTGCATTTAGATCGATTCTATCAGCATCTAGACACAATGAACGGTATCCAACACAACATTGCTTCTTCCTTTTACAGCTATTTCGAGGTAATCAAGCCGCGCGTCGTTACTCTCATAGGCACTTTTAACGAGCTCGTTTCCGTAAACATCAGTTAAAGTTAACTGCAATGTTACTAACAGTTGACGTTAATTAGGGTTAACATTAACAGACGTCAATGGTAACGATCCTATGTAGAATATTTTTGCGAAACGCTTCCCTGGGACGTTAAAAAATCAAACAAAAGATAATGGGCGCAACATTACTCGCGATTTTGTTCGAACGGGCGCGAATGTATCGCCATGTGGTATAAATACTCAAATTCGCAAAATTAAATTCGAAATGGAAGTCGGGCCACTTTTTAACACATAAACTGACCGACACGCGCGTAACTTAGTGAGAGTTTTTACTGCTCAAGGAACGTAAGTTTAAGCTATGATCATAATTTTTTTTATCGTGATATAAAAGTAAATAAATAAAAAATCATATAAGTACCTAAATGACACAAGTACCTAATTCATGATTTCTAATATTTTATTTAAACAAGACGCAAAAATACTCAAGTATTAAAGATTGTGATTTAGCATCAATAGTACTTAGCCATTCGTATAATGTATATATAATAGATATAAAACAAATAAGCGAGTGAAAATGAATCTCATATCTTGTCGTCTCGTGGAGATTCCTTGAAATACGCTCTGATGAAGAAATCGCGAGGGTTGCTTGCTGCGAGATGTATGTAATTGTACATACAGTATTACGTAAGCGCGCGATAATGCTTAGCAATCGTACTTCCGAGCATTATTGTTACAATAGCTATATATAAAAAGTTTTCAATCTTGGCTGGTCTCCAAAGTACATACGTAATAACAAATCTAAGTGTACATTAACTAAAAAGCGACGAAGCGAATATGTTACGAGTAAACTATATGGCGCGACGGGTTCCCGCAAATCGGTCGCGATTGTGTATAAATAAAACTTCCCACGTTTGAATAAAAACGCAACCTCAAGCTCGACTCGTGCTAGGTACATCTTACGCTTTTTAACTTGGTTCAAAGTTAAAAGTACTTGGAGAAAATTTCCCAAGTGTAAAAGATTCTCTCCGCCTTATGAAGATTTGCTTACGCAACTTTTCTCATACGAAGTTTTTTAATAAAGAATAAATAAGATGTCCACCGCAAGCAACAGAATTGAATAGAAAGGTTGGAATGGGATTTCAAGGAAATTTATTTTTACGAACAGTAAATTACGCGAACGCTTCATGTAAAATAAATAATAAGCATAAATGACAATGAATAATTATAATATATTCGTCACGCCGTGAAATGTCGGTTTAAGCGGTTTAAGCTCATATCATGGATAGATATAATCTTAGAATTGAAAAACGATTTCACATAAAATTGTTTTTCTACTAAGAAAAGTTAAATAATATTCGGAAATATAACTTTAGCCTTGCCATTCAATTCTGCGTCTTATAGCGAACGTAAGCTACTGAATTTACGTGCGTAGTAATAACGTAACATCCATACTATAATATTGCTACGTAATACGGCGGATGATATTTAATTTCCAGAGCAACGACTGATCGAAAATCTATGTTCACACATTGAATGAATAGGAATTGTGAGAAATGATTATTTTCTTTCGCAAAGTTTATTTCTAAATGTCGAATACAAGTGCACATGCATTTATTTCGTTTCTACGTCTACTATTTAGGCTCGCTATTTAGAGATAAATATAGTTATAGACTAATTATAATAATGTATTAGGCAGATTGTGATAAACGGCGACAATAGTTTTCTCTTCGTCAGAAATAATAAGATTTTATCTTATCAAATTGATTTTCAGACGTAAGAAAATACGAAATAAGACTTACTTCAAAAATAGAGCTGTTATTTCGAAAGCTATATATAAAAAGATATTTAAAATAAGTTTTATTGGTACTCTCTGATAAACTTAAAATAATTTTAATAATTGTTAACGTATAATAAATATCTTTTATCGAAATGTTATTTGTTACATTGTTAAAATACTATGCACAGAAAATATAAAAAGTTAAAGTTAATAAGTTATCTATATCAAGATGTAAATTTAATTAATTTCTGGATAAATTCTTCTTGTTTCTGATGACATTGTTGCTGGAATAATGACGGCAATATCGAATACGCTTGCGCTATCTAATTATGTCACTAATCGTCGTTTTACTCACACGACATGACTAATAAAATATAACATTTTGTTCACGTTTATTTTTTACGTATCTCGAAGCAAAAGATTAACAAAGCGTTGTCTGCCGAACATTTTCAGCAATTCCCAGCAAAGATGGAAAATTATTCGCATGAATAGCACAAGCTCAAGTAACAGTAAAAACAAAATTGATCGTGTGAATATTTATTACAAATAATGAATTTGTTGCAAAAGTAAATAAAAATAAATTTTTTTATTTAACAAATGTGATTTTGCAGATCTGAAAGTATCAGTTACAGGTTCGAGAATGCTTCATAATCAGCTAAAGGAAGTCGATAATGCTGAACTCGGTTAATGAACAAACAATGTTTGATGTGGTTAGCACTCATTAATAACGTTCTGTCAAAGTGCCACAACAAAATTGATCCGAAGCAATTTGCGTTTGTGATGATACAGAATAAGCTACGTGCGGCAAAATGTTCAGTGGATAACAGGATATCGCGGGTTGATTATGTAACGCTTGTAAATCAACAAACAATCGCATCAACGATCGTACAGTAACACCTTCCCGCAAATATTCGTGTAAGCGATGCAGGTAGACGCTGATAAAATGATGAGCGGGTTGAAACGAGAACGTGTTCGCAGAGGAGCAACGGAAAAAACGGATGAGATAGTCGACGAAATAAATATTATCCTGCGAATTAAATCAAAGACCGCAAAATCATCCAGACGGTGACTCGTTGACATAAATGCCAGGTATGTTCACTTGAAACTTTTACGGAAGCATCGAATAACGAAGAAGAGAGGAGAAAAGGAAGCGAGAAAGAATAGATAGAGAGAGGAAAGGTTGAGAAATGTATTTACAACGATGCTTCATGTGTATATATCTTTGCAATCGTAAAGTGAAATAAATGACGGAAAAGTTTGAAGAAATCTGCTTGAATGGTACGTCTCATATATTTACAGCGTCCACCATGTCAGTTTCGTGCTTTATTTCGAATTGTCGTAAAAGTAATTTCTAGTGTCTCACTTTTTCCCGTTTCGTTATCCACTTGTCGTCCAACTTTTTCGATTATCATCTATCATTTATAAAGTATCTTTCCAACTCCTATGTAAAAGACACCCGAGCGACGTTTGAAAAATTGAAATCCATCCTTATTCATATCACATTTCGCCCAAAAACATAGCCGTTCTCAGCGCAAGATGACACACGCTATTTTTGTCTTAAACAAATAAATTATCAATTGCATTCAGCGTGAAATGTGAAGTATAAAAGTATTCAGAACTTCTTCTACGCACATCTACGCGAAGTCTTCGAAACATTTGCATTTGTGAGTGAGATGTTGCGTTTGAGATTTACCACAAGAATCAACCTGACACATGATACGCGACACATTAACGATACCACACGATCGATATTATATCCCACAGTTCTACGATAATACTCCACAGGATCGTCTGTGTGTTACGGTTGCAATACGAGTTAATGTGTTACGCTGCGACATCGAGATTGCTATGGAATATCTGCTAACGCAATTATAAGGTTCCAAATTACGAAGGGCTAGTATTTCATCGCGCCCCACTGCATACTAACGCAAACACGTACTGCAACTAAAACGTTGAAATGCATTCCTCCGAATATTAATGTGCCTCATTTACTTATCGCGTGGCGCCGCGTCTTCTTATCGTGCAACAAAATGTTACGAAGCCGGATGATGTTTCAGTACCAGATTCCTTGATATACAACTCGCTGTATGAAAGCCATAAGAAACAGTAAAGTCTCTCTTTCTACTTTATTCTTTATTGCATTAAATTGCAATTTTTATTCCATTTAATTAAGATAAAAGTTATCTTAAATTAAATTAATTACGTTGAATTAAATTCAATGAAGAGAAAATGTCTTGAACTTTCTGTGTATAAAAATAATACGATTAAAATAAAATGACTAAATATTTAATTAATATATTTTTATCTTTTTAGATGTTATGAAAATTATTTGATAGATGATGTGTATTTGTGAAGAAATCAGCTATTTACGTTAAATCTAGTACGTTAAATCTGGCACTTCTGCTTCACCTAAGAATCTTTCAAGAAATTGTACGCCGAATAGGATAGTTTGAGAATCTGCAGAAAAGATAATTTACCTATTAAATTGTTTACCAGTACTTTTATAACTTTAATCTTGTTTAATTTCGAATACTAACGCTCATAAAAGATTCAAGGGTTAACGTAACCACATAACCACTCGACATTTTAACAGGTTTACTGGCACGCATCATTATTATCAAAAGATCTTTCATTACTCGGACCTTTAACGTGGTCCAATCCATCTCATAAACAGCATTACCAATGTCGATACTCTATGAGAAATTCATTAGAATGATGAGTAACGCAAATTTATATATTTCTAATTAACGATTTCTACATGATGTTACTTTCAGAAACTTTTTGGTTGTTAAATATTTATTATTTAATATTCAAACTCAATATTTATTAAGCAAATTATTCAGATAAAAAGTATTTTATGAATTAACAAGTAATACATATATATATATATATATATATATATATATATAATAATTTTTACATGCATTAAACATGCATTAATCAAGAATTAATTAATAGCTTTATTTCTTCATGTTTGAAAAAGTAAACAAACAAGCATGAACGCAATTATATTCCATATGTACAAATAATTTAAAAATGCCAATAGATTTCTACCTTTAATGTAACCTCGTTGCCATACCAACAATAAAGATATATCTGCATGAGCATGGCGCACAGGTAAGAAGAGAGATACGCAAAATCGAGCGTAAATAACGACGTCATTGTGGATAGCTTGTAGACGATCATACAGAGAACGAGGGAACTGATGGAGAATTGGATGAACATCATCAACATAAAGACCGCATTTACGGTGTGCGCAAATCTACAGTTACGTGAGCACTGTTAATTGCTTCTACAAATTGCATAGCTTATTTTGCATAAGGTCAAGTAATCTAATTAAGGCTAATGAATAAATCGAATAGTATTTGGCATTTAAATAATAAATGTAATTGATACAAATTGTAAAAAAAATAACTGAAAAATTACAGTTTGATTATCAGAGAATGATTATCTTGTTTTATTTATTCTAAAATCTAAATTATTCGACTCAACTCTGCCATTAAATTTAATAACATATTACATAAATTTAATAATTTAATTATAAATTTAATAATATCGTCTTAAAAGACTATAAGTGCAAAATCAAGCACTTTAATTCGATTAATTCGGATTAATGTTGTAGGATCGATATATATGAATCGATGAATCAAGTTTCTTATTGCTATCTTTTTTAATATAAAAATACTCACTTGTAAACGTAAAGATGATGATGTATCAAATCACGAATGAGCATTCTCTCGCGTGTCATCAGATCCTTGTCCGATTTACTGTTCTTTTCAGCTTCCGTCAGCAATGTCGGCAATGCATGAGTGCGATAGGACAAAATTTCGAATTGAGCGCAGGTCTGAATCATCATGCCGGAAATTAGCGTCTCATGTGCAACACTGGAATTGGCGCACAACGTCAAGGCTACGCATTGATATATCAACATAGGTAAGAAGGCATACATCGGTGTTATATCGAAGGGCGACCAGTTGTACACCGGCAAAGTGCGCGTCTTCAAAAGTATGTAAAACTGCGCAAAAGTCGCAAATATCGCACAGGATACGTTCAAAATCTCGCAGGCGATTGTGACCTGTCTAGCAAATTTAAATTATTTTATAAAATAAATTATATTGTTCTCACACATACACATACACAAATTCATTAAAATTATTTCAAGTATTTGAAAAAAAGTTAATGCATTACTTCGAAATTCATCATTAAGGGGCCTATTATGTAACTTTTAACGATGTCATTATGTACCATTGCGCAGCTATTACATGATACAAAAACCTACACAGTGATACATAACGACATCGTTAAAAGTTACAGAATAGAAAGCTAAGTTTAGTGTATTTATTATATCTTAGTACTTTGCTATTAACAGTCAGTAATTTTTGTTAAACTTATCACTCTCTTTAATAAACTGAATGAATTTAAATCCTGCAAGCAAAATGTGAATGTCATTTACGAATAAAAATTTTATACTTAATAAAGTTTTGTATTTTCTTTTGTATTTTATAGTTACACAATTATCATATACACATTATTTAAAAAAATCAATGCATCTTGCAAGGCGAGTCTTTTCATCCAGATAAACTTTGCAAATGTATATTTAATAAGATGAAGACAGGATCTCAATATCACAGTATAAGATTTATTTAATAAATTATTTAATGAAAATCTGTCTTAAATGTCACGGACTAATATTTTGTAAAGCTGGTATATTTGTAAATATTTTGTAAACCTAGAATTATCCCATACAGCATGCATATCCAAAAGATGTTCAGAGGATGTCCCGAAGATATCGTATCTCTCAAAAATATCTTCAGGATGTCCTCTGAATCTTTTGAATATGCGTGCTGTGTGGGATATTATCAGGATGCGTCAATTTTTCTGATAAACATATACATGTCATAATAAGAGCACATGTAGTGGATAAATACCTGTGAAACGCAAAAAATTCGTTTGATGCATGTCGCTACATCAATTTTTCATCGCGTTATGTTAAAAGTCTGACGGGTGTTCATTTATGAATAAGCGCCCGGAACGCGTGTATGTATACGTGTGACGCGCGTAACTATTACGATTACGGTACCGCGATCGGCTAATCAGCTGATCGGTAGTAATTTTTTGTCTTTATATGTGCTTCGCGACCGTTACGTGCTACCTTTCACTTAGGGCTGCATTTCATTATTCACTGCCAATACTGACAACTGAAAGTTCATGTTATGCATGCTATTGGTTTTCAGCACTGCCAGTTAACGGTGGAACACAGCCTAGATCAATTTTGGAACACAGCCTAGATCAAAACTAATTTTTTGCGATACAGTTGTCACAAATCGATGTAATTGTTAATATCTTTACACAAACAAAATCTTAGCGGATTGAAACAAGTTTCATTTGAAAGCTGAGCAATAGTTTTGATAAATCCAGAAATATTGATCTCACATTATTGATTTACCAGGTATATATCATCGATTATTTAAAAATAAAAAAAAATGAATTAACTCTTTTAGTACCCAAACGACGATCTTCGTACCGAAAGAATTACATAAAGAGAGAAGAGAAAGTTCTCAGGAAAAATATTAGCAACGTTAACAGACTGACAGCAGATTGGCCTAGAATTATATTTTATCAAATTTACTGTCAATCTACCAATCTTGCTAACATTTGGCTTACTGGGTTTACCTTGCGAAAATATCTTCCAGTGAAAGTAAATAATATATAATAAGCATTTTTAAGAAATTACTTTACAAATAAAAGAAATATAAACTTTGTCCAATAAATTAAAACTACATACGTTGAGAGTTAAACAAAATTATTTTTCCATAATTTAATAAATAATTACGTACTTCGCACTTTGGTTAAATTTATTTTGAATCGACATCTCTTTAGAATCTCTGGGAATACAGTTCTTTTTCAGCAGCATCTGGACCAAATCGATGACCTTTCCACGGCGTATAAAGAGATGCACAATCTTGCAGGAGACACCAAAGACTGAGAGGAACAGGTAGCATTTGTCTACGACTTCCTGCAGGCTCGTCGAATACACAACAATATCTGCTATGCCGTACAACACGAATGACTGTAGTAAAACGAACATGAAGACCGAGTAAAGGTTGTATATCCAGTATTTCAACGAATTGGCAGGGAAATGCACTGGCCGCCAGTAACCGGTGTAAGTGAGCAGAGCGAACGATATCGGAAGTATGTGCATCCTTTTGTGGCGACTCCCCACGTCTCGATCTCTATCGCACACACCGAGTACTATTTAATAATAACTTTTCTATCGAAAGAAATTACATCCTTGTCATTACTGTTATTGTAGATAAATACTTTTAGCAAGATAGAAAAATGTTCAGGATATTAAAAGTCGGACTGTCCGTGTAGCGAGAACGCGATCGACAGGGCGACGACAGCAACGATAATTCTAATGTCATATATATTTTTTCCTTTACATATACATTTATCGTCTATCATTTCCCTTTCTCTCAGCACCCTTATAAAGTTTCAACATAGTCTATAATTCATAAACGCGACGTAGGTACACTATTAAAATCCCATTACGTTGACATTACATTCTCCTGCATAATACAACAATTATATCGACGATTACACATGCGATACAGAAAGAATTATTCATCTACAAAGTAGTTTCCATAAATTGTCGCTTGATTATTTACAACAGAAAAAATGGAGGTAAGAAAAATGAAGGTAAAATTTAAAAATTTAAAATAGAAGTAGCAAAGCTATATCGTATAAGTTTCTTTTATGTCACAATAATTCATTCCCATTCGCGCAATCGTCATATTTTTCTGTTTTTAAATAAAGTTGTTTTCTACAGTAGAGAAATAAGATTGGTATCGTTGCAAAATAACAAAAAATTGAATTCAAGTGAGTGACATTTTATTTATACACGGTGTACAAACGAATATGTACAAAATATATTTTAATACTCCATTAGAGAAATAGTATAGAATTCTGTGCTTAGTTGGTTCCGTCTGGACGTGCTCTGCCAGCAACTTTCGGCATCTTTTTGTTCGTCGAGTCTTCTAGCTCTTTAGGCTTATAGTAATGAGGTGCTACTTCCAACAGCCATTTACTTTCAATTTCCGTCACCTGTACAATGTACACATTTTTATCTCAATTTTTCTCAAATTTAAAAAGTAGTTGGAATTTAGACGAAATAGCTACGCTTTTACACGTTCACGTACCTGACGCATGAATTCCTTCGTAGTAAAAACAAGTTCGTGATAAAGGAGCCAGCGTGGAAGTTCTTGAAATAGAGAACTGTTTGGGTGTATCGCGACTGTCTGATTATGCTTTGCGGTTTTGTAATGACCTCCCTTTGACAAACGCGCCACGTGATAGAAATAACCGGCCGTAATTGCCTAAACAAAAACTTTGCGATTATTTTACGAAGAAATTGATAATGTATCAATTTATCACATTTTTTATTTTATTTTTCGCACGTTCAGCATTATATTTTTTAATTTTCAATTTTTTTTTTAATTTTTAAACAATTATTTACAACATTCATATAGTAAAATCTGTTTTACTAAGGAATTAAAATTTTAATCCAAATGGATGCATTACTTTTTATTTATATATGATATACGTGTCAGTTTGTTGTAACATTAACTTACCTTTCTTATATTAATAGTTTCCGCGATTCCTGAGACCAATTCCATCTCTACGCGCTGCATCAAGCCTACCAACTGTTCTCTAACGTCTCTCGCACGTTTCATAGATCTAAGAGCAAAATTACAACAAATATATTTTACGAAACTATTAATATTATGCATTATTAACACACCTGTGTTGTATAAAATTCTCATAGCACCAATGAGTACTGAAATCACTCTGTGCCCATTGATTGTACACGTTGAGGAGAGTCAGATGATCGCCGCCAGGTACATGGAAATTCTTGCGCGCAGCATCCGCATGTATAATTTTATCTTTCGGCCTGTAAAAGATTGCGCCGTTCACTGATAGCATAGCCGCGATAGTCGCCACCTCTTCCGAGCAGCGATACTTCTCGCTAGCTAATAGCATTTTCGCCATCATTGGGTCCAGTGGAAACTCGGCCATTCTACGTCCAAGTTTCGTTAGCTCTCCGCGATGATTCAGTGCGCCTAGCGCGTACAGCTGCTCCAACGCTAAAACCAACGTTTCGTGCGGCGGTGGATCCAAAAAGTCAAAGTGCACCAGATCGTTGATCCCGAGAGCTTTCAAGGTGAGTACTGCATTACCTGCAAACAAAATATTCAAACATGACAAAATTTAAGGAAGGCAAATGTTATTTATAATTTTAATGAGATATTTTTAATTCTCTTACCGAGATTAATCCTTTGAATTTCAGGCACAGTATTATCTTCAAGCTCATGCTGATAGGCCCAAGCTGTGTACAGACGGAAACACTTCCCAGGCGCTACTCTACCCGCACGCCCAGCCCTCTGATTAGCGGACGCTTTACTGATCGGTACGACCATTAAACTTTCCATGCCCGTGCGCGAATTGAAATTGTTCTGCTTCGCAAAGCCGGGATCTAACACGTATACTATGTTGTCTATAGTCAGCGAAGTCTCTGCTATATTAGTTGCAAGTACAACCTTAAAAATAAATAAAAATTTTAATCTCATATAGGAGCAATTTTACAAATTTATTTTGAATTTATTTTGGAAAAATATATTACCTTTCTTGCTCCGAGTGGAGTCGGTTGGAATATTTTCGTTTGCATATCACTCGGTAGATTCGCATAGACGGGTAAAATTAGAAGTTCCGCCAATTTGCTTCCTAATCTTCTGACTCTTTCCTGCAACATCTCCTGACACGTCTCGATCTCGTCCTGTCCTGTGTATAAAAATAATATGTTATTATATTATGTAATAATATTTCAGATATAACCAATACTTACCAGTCAAAAATACTAATATATCACCCGATGGCTGCGTTGCGTGAATTTGAAGAATGGAAACTACACACGCGTCGATGTAATCTGCTTCCGGTGCTTTCGTGTAATAAATATCAACGGGAAAACGGCGACCAGGTATTCTGAATATAGGAGCATCGTCAAAGAATTCGCTGAACTTTGTGGCATCCAACGTAGCCGACGATATCAACAGCTTCAAATCAGGTCGAAACCTTGCGATATCCTTCACCAGGCCAAATAATATGTCGGTATGTAAAGTCCGTTCATGCGCTTCATCAATTATCATTACACTAAAATATACAATAAGAATAACAATTATCATCATAATAAAACATGCCGACATTTATATCATCTAAATGGTTAATTTTCTAGGTTTCGTTGATTGTTATTCATGATAATTTTTAGTTTTTCTGATTAACAATCTTAGTTTTATATTTTCTTTTTAATTTAAAACCAAAGAGGAAAATCTTATTCTTGTGTAGGTGTTCCAATCCTGTTAACTTGATTCTATAAGCAATATACACAAATATACCTGTACGACGCTAAGTCAGGCTCACTAAGAAACTCTCGGTGCAGAGTACCGTCAGTCATATACTTGATACGAGTACGATGCGACGTGCAATCTTCGAAACGAATAGCATAACCGACCTCGTTGCCCAATTTAACAGCCATTTCGTGAGCCACTCTCGCAGCCACCGACATCGCGGCTACTCGCCGCGGCTGCGTGCATCCGATAATCTTACCGTCGTCAGCAAATCCACACTCGTACAGATATTGAGGAATTTGTGTGGTTTTCCCCGAACCTGTTTCACCTTCTATAATCAAAACCTGATATTCAAATGTGACATCTCTTGTATTCTGTAATACTGTTCATTGTCCAGCATTCTAATATCTACTATTTATTTACCTGATGATCTTTGATAGCTCGAATCAGATCATTGCGGAAAGGATAAATAGGCAGACTCTTCTTTGTCTCCTCAATCGTTTGCAAAGTTTTAACATGCGCAGGCGGGCTTTCCTCGCGTTTTTTGTCTTTATCGTGCCCAGGCATACGTAGCGCTTGAACGAATTCTATCTCGTCCTCCATAAGAAGATCATACTCTTGTTGAACTGTAGTAAAGGATTATAAAATTAAAAACAACAAACTATATAAATAGTGATTTTTTTCTAATGATTGAATGCACACCTTTTCTATCTTTAGCACCAAAACGAAAAACAGCTGATGACATCTGATCGGATTCCCATTTGCTTTGCTCTGACTGTGGTGGCTCTTTATCCAGAGTATCAGGTTCTTGTTCTGTCTTGCCTTTTTCCAAAGGCATATGATAACGCTGAATGCGTTCGAGTTCTCTTGCCTTCTCATGTTCCTTTGCTAAATGCAACAGCTGTTTCTTATGAGCTCTCTCACGCTTTTCTCTGTCTGTTAAACTGTAATGAAAACAAATAATGTTAATTAGATGAAAAATTATATTCTAAACATTAATTATATGATTTCTCAATATAATTACACTTCATCCTCAAATAGATATTCGTCATCAACAATATCAGCCTCCAATTCTGCAACTTTGTCCTCTTTACGTTTCTCCAGATATTTTCTACGAGACTCAACTCGCAATTTTGGTACCAGCTTCTCTCTAACATCCGTCTCCATAATCTTGAGTCTCTTCGCTGCTTCAACTGTAGAAAGGGACAAACAATAATAAATTTTCCTTCATATAGTGCTCATAGATATTCTACCTGTAACTCACCAGCTCCGGAACCAGCAGGCATAGCAACCTTGCGTATCTTGCTCTCATCTTTAGCTCGAAGACGACTAGCAAAGCTATCTCTTTCCTTAATATCTTTCTTGCGACGCTCCTCTTCACTATCACTGTCTTCACTCGAAGTCTCTTCCCGCCTATACTTACTCATTTTGGAAGATATTACAGGTTATATTCAAATCTTTTAAAGTAACTTTCTTGAATACGGAAAACGTATTGTTGCAGAAAATATATAACTTTCAATATATTGCGTACAATTAAAAATAAATGTACGGTAAAAAATGAGAAAAATTTGACTTGTACGTCACAATATTAACTTTGTTGTCAACCGCCAGCTGAGATCAGCTGAGATCGAAATGCATACATGCGCGTTTGTGCACATAAAGTGGCGCCATATCGTGGTTCACTATGACAGTTTCTAGACAATTTCAGAAGTACATAATTTTCTACTATAGATAAAATAGTTTAACTATATATTATTGCATAAAAGAGAACAATTTAAAAATTCAATAATTTTGTATTTTTATTTTTTTCTTAAATATAAAATATATAAAAATACAAATATCTATATATAGATAACAATGTTTATAGATTGCACTTACATTTAGATTTAGACGGAAATTTATTTACAATTTGCATTTAAATATATATTATTATTATTTTCCGGAAGCTTGATGAATCCGCAATTTAAATTGATATTAGCAAGAACCATAGTCCTCGCTGTCCCCGTTATCATCTTCCGCATTGTATTCACGGCCTATAACTGTACGCATAATGATAATACAGCTGCAAATGATACATTTTCACGGTTGGCGTGCTTTTGACGACGAAAGGAGAGTTAGTATGAGAGAAAATACAAATGCGCTCGCGTATATATCGATTTTGAACCCGCGATGGCGTCAGGTGTTGCAATAACCAGCTGACGTCGTTACACAAGAGCGTCAAATTTGTAGACAGAATTTAAAAAAGAACCTTCGTGCTTTACTAAGTTACTATTTTATTTTTATTTATTTTATGTTTTAATTTTTTTATTCCAATATTTGCAGTTTTTAATTTTTGCTGACTTCAAATAGCCGTCCTTTTGTTCCCAAATGCACAAAAACAATAGCATAAAGCAATGAAATTTTACATTAAATAACTTACGCAAAGTTCTTTTCTATTTAAAATATAATTTATTTACGACACGATGAGCATAGCTCGTTTGTTTTATTATTCCAAATTTAAGTTAAAAAAATTTATCAAATCATGATAACAATTTATCGAAATGACAAGCTCTTTCACTTTATTTATGCAATTATAAACAAAAATAATCAATCTTTAGAACATTAAACGACACGACTTCTCCGAAATTGCTTTCAAAAGAGTGATTAGCATGTTTCGCCGAACGAAATTTAAATAATTTAAAAGGGAAATATTTGTGTCAGCGCTTGAAAACGCGCAACTACGGCACTGCTTGTTTGCGCGGCTACCAACCGCTCCTACGTTCGGCGCCGCGTCAGTACATGTGGCCTCACCGCAGCGTGCGGATTACCTCTCCTCGAAGGTACGCATCTCGATCCTGTGTATCACAGCCCTGACAGCTCTCGCTCTCGTTCCTTTTCATTAACTCGCAATAATCACATTCCGCTGTGTTACAGGCGATTCTGAAAAGTTCTCACCGCTTACCACGAGAAATCATCTTTGCTCCGAAAATTCGAATCAAAGGCGAGGATCAGTCAGGATCATGCCAGCGGACGCCGAGCTCAGCAGCCTACTCAGCAGACGGCAAAGGATCAACGATGAACTCGAAGAGGGCAAAGAGGTGAAGAAGCAATATAAGTTTGTGAACGTTTACACAGAATTCCATGAGCTGTCGCGCCGCGAAATCAAGCAGTACGAGCAGACCTTCAACAGGTGAGTACTTTTTGTCACATCTCATTCGTACGTGATCGAAAAACATTAACATGTGAACATCATGATTAACCGGCGATGACAACATATTTAAGTCTTGAGTCAACATATTTAAGTCTAACAGCTGAATGCTTCATATTCTTAATTTTATTAGTTTAAAATGTGATTAAAAATATTTAGAGTCGAAGGAATTTGTTGTTAAGGTTATATGTTTGTTATTTTTTTTATTAATAATATAAATACTTGATTAAAATTAATGATTTTGAGTAAATAATTTGGATCAAAATAGTAATCAATTTTCTTATATATTATCAAAAGATGTTAATGACAACACATCAATAAATAATTATAAATATAAAACCAATGATAATTGCTAATGGCTAAAACATTTAAGCTTGTTTTTTTATTAAAGAAAAAGTAAATTTTTTTTTGTGATACGAAAGACTTTCGTGTTCGTTTAAACGTGTCTGCGACAGTTAAGTGTTCGTTCTATACATAGTATTATCAACTTAATAAGCGCATTCTGTCTAGCAGTTTATTTTTACGAGTCAGCTTATAATATACACACACGTGTAATCAGATGGAGATAAATGTTCCTTCATGGCGTGAAGTTTATCGTTATTGAAACGGAACACACGTCATTAATGGCAAACACTTTCGAATCATTGATCGCGTGTGATTGTGAGCAAACTTATTCCATATTGATATCATTGAAATACCATTTACTAGCAATTGCTTTCAACGTTTCACACAATTAATCACTTTCTCCCAGGAAATTCCTTTAAATATAATGTAAGACGTAAATTCTTACAACGTAAAGGAACAGTATGAGAATATTCATTTTAAATATCTCTATTTATATATTTTTTATAAATATTTATTTTTACATTGTTTTATACACATATGTATACATATTTTTTATTTAGCATAACATGTACTTTATAATCATTTTTATTTAATCCACTTTAGATCAATTATTCGCGACATTTCTCTCAGAATAGAATTCTATGTGGTTATAATTTTATATAATACAGGAAATATATTTGAAACATCAGAATACAAAATATATAATGATGATATGTATTTTTTACGTATTCCAATTCTTCGCACGCTTTCTATTACATACAACTATAAATAGATTTTTATATCGAGTTTTTATTTCGAAATTTATAGATATAGTCCATTTATAATACAGGTACCATTCGAGTGAAAAAATAATGAAAGAAACGTAATTAGCATCACAGGAATCTTTTTTTGCCGGTTCGATCAAGCTTAAAATATTTCAGATTCTCCGTGCGCCGATTTGTGCAACCGTGCGTTAAGCAGCACGCGATATTATTGCATCAACAAGCATTGTTATCTACGGATTTCTCTTGTGTGGAATGCCTTCATTAGAGCCTTTTTCGCGAGTTCTCAGTCTGAAATAGAAGAATCCTCTCACGCGAGATTTCCTAAGCTAAGCCGAGAACGTCCCGCTGCGCGCTATCATCGCCACTTGATCGTCATATCACGCGAGTCCCCTGTCTAATGATAACGAATTTCATTACGAAATCTACAGGCTTGCTTATATCACATGAGAATTGCAACAAAATTGTAAGCATATCGCATTACAAGTCAGATAGTTGGACATTAAATTCTAATATTCACTGCAATTTCCGTGCGTTCGTCTCTTGCTTAAAATCACATTATTTTCACAAGATAATTTACAAAGAAAAAGAATTTTCCGTCATTCGTCTTCGCCTTTGTATATAGTATTTTCGAAGGTACCTGTGCACCCGCAGGCAACCATTCTGCTTCTCCGACTCCGTTGTCAAACCTGCTACCAGGTGACTTCGAAATACCTGTCTACTCTGAGACACAAAGGGTGTAGGTACCGAGGATTGTAGCAAGGGGGGGGAAGGCACGGCAGGAGGCCCGCAGGGACCCCGAGGTCGTCTGCCCTCTCCGGGCAGCTTGCGTTTCTTCTGTCGAAGAAATGCACGTCACGAATCTCTCGGCGGTTCGCGGTTTCGTAATGACCGAGCGTGCGATTCTCGTAGTCTTCGCGATTTTCTCCTTTCTCGGCGTACCTTCGTTGGAAAATACGTCTTCGTGTACTCCGTTAATCAATCTTATGCGTTGCAGCCAGCATCAATTGCAGACAATAAATCTCTGAACGTCGTTCTTTGTTACGAGATCGTTCAGGAATCTGGAAATTGAAAATGCGACAAAAACAACTAATTTAAGAACCGAGATAACAAAATTAAATTCGTGGAAAAAATAAAAAGTGTATTCTGTAGAAGATTAGATTTTTCAGAAATCTCAGTAGAGACTTAAAAAGCGACCCTGACCTTTTTCCTTGAAGACCGAGCATGAAACGTTCAAATCCGGTGTTATCTCGAGGCAAGAAACGCAGACATTTCGGAGGAAATATGTCGCCGCACTCCTACGATTTATCGAGGCCCGAGGTTGCAAAGATAACCGGTTTCGCGGCGAAAAGACAAGGACGACTTCTTTGACCAGAGCGCGACATAAACGCGCAACAATTATCGGTCCTTCCGGATGACGTATCGCAGGATACCATACGCACGTGCGTGCTGCAGGCGACAGAACTCTCGTGCCGCTGTCGAGAGGCTTTTACTTCACGGGTATTTAAACGGAAAGGAAAAGTTAATTCTCTATCGATCGTAATATTTAAGAACCGAGTCGATTGCATTTATGAAATATAATAAAACGTTACGTAAAGTGCAGAATAAAGTGAGAAACATTAAACGCGTTAAGATATCGTGTAGCAAAAGTTGCAAGTAGCAAGTATCACTTGAGTGATTATTGCTTTTAAAATCAGAATAAGTCTCATTTAATATCCATGACTTTTCGATTAAATATTATTCGATTTAATATTAATATTTGTTATTTTATATATAATAGCAAACATTACTAATGTAATTCAATCAGACGCAATAAAAGTTATCAATTTTCTCGTCGTACTTTATCGGTGATCCGATACGGAGGTATCATATCTTCTCGTTTCCCAAACAGAGTCGAGAAAAACAAAAATAATTTGTTTCTAAATCGGTAACGTGATATATTTATCAGTCGAACATTATATCGTTGACCGAGCTAAATAAAACATCTCACTGTGGTTTTAGTTCGATGACACGTGATAGCACTTGGGTCACCGCGGATGCATTCACGTAGGATGCAGTTGTTATCTATCTAACATTTCCTGTGCCGACCGGAATCGAAAGCGGCCCGTCGGGTTTGTCATTCTCGACGCAGTCTCCTGCAGGATTTACAGGAAGCTCTTTCGAGGGCCCGAAATCAGACCCCCTAATTGACCCTCCGACAGTCGTAAACAGAAGAACTCGCATCAACTTAAATCCCGTAACTAATTTAAAGAGCTCGAAAGTTAGCGGGACATCCGCTGTCCCAATCGATTGCCCCTTTTATTCTGTGCTATTATCGAATTTAGCACCGGATTTGTTAATTTAATATTATAATGCGCATTTGATAATTTTTGAACGAACTACAAAACTCGCCAAAGAGACAAATGTATAGTCCTTATCGAGAAATTCCTATCAATGTATGCCGCAAATCGCGCGAGGTCGAGAGTCGCAATTTCTACGACTCGATTGAATGCACGCTTAACTTTCCCCCGTCGCAATGATACTACTGCGAGATGTGATCGATTCGCCTTTAAACGTATAAACGTGAGGCGACGACCTTAACCCTTTCACTGCTAAAGTAGGTGAATGCATATATGCATTCGAGATGGATAGTCTTAATCGATAACTCCACGCGGAACGTAACGAATGCTTTAAGAAAGGAAAATGTGAAAATGTTTTATTCGATTTCCGAAAGAAATATTATTTTAAAATGTCGAAACTTTCGCAATTTGTCTGGAGTATTTTTACAAGGAATATTTTTATGCCGATTCGAACTATTTGAAGAAATAACTGAAGAGAAGTATTTTCATAAGAAATATTATAATTTTAACGCTTCTGTCTTCCTTCTGATTTTTCTATCGATCCTTTTCGAGGAAGGAAAAATCCCTGGACGCCCCCGTTGCTTTGGCATGACAAACCGTTATTCCTCGTGGTCGTCAAAGAAATCGCGCGTTCCGAATATATAAACGGTATAAGAATTTATTCTGCGACTCGGCTCGCAATGATGGAAGGTATTCGGTATTCCTAGCAGCAGCACCGCTAGACATTTTAAATAATGTTTCGTTGAAGGCATAACATTTCACGGACAACGCTTTATCCCCGTTTAGGAAATACTTCCACGGCTCACAATACAATTTCCCTAGCTTCGAAGAATTCTAATACACTCTGTGTAGTCTTTTCTCGCAATCTTACATATTAAGTCAGTCGCTGTGTCTCTAGTAGAGGAAAAATGTTAATTGACCATTAAAATGTATAAATTCTCACGAGGAAAACTCGACGTTTCTTTAATGAAACGGGACAATAACTCTTACTTTTATAATAAAACAGTGATTATATCACCCGCTACAGTGAATAAAAGAAATATTAATTAACCATAAAAATCAGGCTTTCAAGATAAATACAGAACATTTATTTAATCCCGATATTTTATTGCTCAACCGAGGCAGACTTTACTTCGCGTATCAAAACAACATTTATTGTTTGCAATCTCATGGCAACAGTTAATAAAAAAACATTCAACTCAGAAGGAAGAATAAACGTAGAAACTCGGAAAATTACAGCTGCACGTCATGGATCATAAATCTTTTATAAAACTTTTTCTCGCAGTGTGAGAAAAAGCACGCTTACCGTCCTCGTCCTCGTCTTCAGCGCGCCGTCAATTCGTCGCAGTGACGTCTTTCGTTGCTCAGGACCATTCCTGTCGTATCGATCTCGGAAAATAAGGGTACAGGACCAGAGCGGGCATATCGCGTGTCACCTTGACCCGATTTCCTCTGGACTACTCTTGGAAAACGAATCGCAAAGTGTTCGACGTCGAACCGGTCCGAAGCGGAACGATCACGATCTCGCGATAAAGCC